AGAGAGAGAGAGAGAGAGAGAGAGAGAGAGAGAGAGAGAGAGAGAGAGAGAGAGAGAGAGAGAGCGCTCAGGGATCATCACAGAAGAAGGGATAAAGAGATAAAAAGAGATAGAGCTTTGCAAGCTCCACCCCAAACTCCTGTTTCCTGGACACCACAATGCCCATTCTGGATGTGAATTCTGTAGGTATGGGGCCATGCACATGACCTCCACAGGATCAAGCGAGTCAAAATTTCCACATGGCTATGTGCTGCTGTGGTTTCCTTGGACATGGAAACAGTCCATTCTGCAGGGAAGCTCTTTAAGCAGGATGACAAACAACTCTAAATAACTTCAGGAAGTCCCTGAAACTGATCAGGTCTACTAGGTCCCCTCCCTGCCAGAGTAAGCAGCGAAAGTTGCGAGTCCCTTTCAGACTAATTGAGCTGAACTGCAAAGACAGACTCTCAGCAAATTTAAGCTGCAAAGGGGACTGAAGCCAGACAGGCCGCCTCAAAGAGGTTTAGACCAACGGAAGCACCTGGAAAAGGGTACTCTCCAACCTGCCGAGCTGCTCGCAGGCTGTGGAGTGTGTGCTCCTGTGAGCTGTTACCCCAATAAAACTCACTGGTTCACGGAGCTGGACTTTGGGGGTACCCATACCTTAGTGTGCCATGGGATCCTCTTCTTGGGTAAGGAGATGGGTATGTGGCATCTCCCCGGGGAAAGTTTTGTTGCACAACAGAGTGGGCATGGAGCCCCATCCATAGCTGAGGAATTACTGGCAGTTGATGGCTACCGGGGGAGGGGGAACCAGTTTTCTTCCGGGATGCTACCCTGCCCATGCTCCAGCTGATGGCCCTACACCTACGTTCACAAACTAGAAGAACTAACTAGACCGAGTGATTAAATAAAGAGGACAGGGAGTTGAAACGGAGATGTGGTGGGTCAGGGGTGTCTGGAAGGAGTTGGAGGGATGAGGGGGGGTGATTTTGGCCAAAACACATTGTTTACAGATATGACATTAAAATAAGGATGAATCCAACATGAAGGAAAAGTAGGTGAAGAAATAGATGGAGTCCCTCTGACACGAGTCAACCTTTTAGCCTCTGATTTTTACCACACGCAAAGCCTTGCCCACCTACCTCAATTCTGATTCAATAGGAAAGACCAAGGGTCAACCTTATCATTCCTACTCTTCACACAGTTAATATCTGCTCTGGAAGCAGACCATCACCTCTAACTGGACACGTGACTAAATAAGTGTTAGAAATATTTTCTAACACGAGCTCTCTGTCGACACAAAAATCCTAATCATGCCGAATCAAAACAAGCCGAATTAAAAGATATACAGGTGGGTTTTTTTTTTTTTTTTTTTGGTTTTCGAGACAGGGTTTCTCTGTGGTTTTGGAGCCTGTCCTGGAACTAGCTCTGTAGACCAGGCTGGTCTCGAACTCACGGAGATCCGCCTGCCTCTGCCTCCCGAGTGCTGGGATTAAAGGCGTGCGCCACCATCGCCCGGCTGATATACAGGTTTATATAGGACTCCTGCGTTCTCTGATGCACCCCCCCCCATGGGAACCGGGAAGCCACCCGGGGGAAAGAGGGAAGACCACAAGTTGACTTTATGGGGAGCAGTTTAACTAGACAGGGGGAGTAGTCCTGACCTCCTCTGGGGAGGAGTCAAGGGCCACAGGGGCGGGGCCTCCAAAGATGGAGGCCAGAGACCGGGATTTACAATAAATAGTAAACACGTATTTAAATTCTAGTGCAACACCCCCCCAAAAAAAAAATCCTTGATGTAGTCAGCAAGCATTCGCAACACATCTCCAGATTAAGTCTGGAGGGTCTTGGCCTAGAAGTCACAAAGGCACAAAATGAAACAAAACCATCATGCTGCGTTTCCTTGTGGTGGATGGGTGGTGCCATTGCTCACACTGGTATCTTGAAGGTGAGAAATGTGGGGGTGGGAGGAGGCAGGTAGTCCCGGCTGGAGTTGGAGGAGCACAGCTGATTTGCTTAGAGCTTCATAGCTGAATGAATGCAGGGAGGCAATTGCCTTGTGACTGTGGCACCAGCCAGAGCGGGGCTTGCAATGACGCAGCGTCCCAGAGCAACCTCAGTGCAGAGCAATGGGGTGGCTCTGTTAACGCTTCATTCCCTTCTTCAGCATCCGAGAGTACCGCTAATCACTTCCAGGACAGACCCGGGGAAACAAGGGGAAGGAATCTCTACATTAGTGCTCACTAGTAGATTCGAGGCTACAGTGTTCATTTGGGGAAAGAGGCAAATAATCTTTTGGGCTTTTATTCGTGTGAGAGAGTTGTTTGGTTTTGGTTTGCTATTATTATTATTATTATTATTATTAATTATACCAGTCTCACCCTGTAGCCCAGGCTGGCCTCAACCTTGAAGCAATTCTCCTGCCTCAGTCTATTAAGTGGGGGCATGACAGGCAGGAGCCACATGCTTCCTTTCGTGGTTTTGATGATATCTATGATGAAGCATCTTTATAAGATTCCATGCTCACTCATTGACCAGACTTCCGTAAATCCACGTTAAATCAGGGCTTGTTTTCAGAAATGAAAACTAGTGGGCTCGTAAGCTGGAGTAATGTTTCATACATCAGAATGGCCCAAAGAAATCTTTGGGGGGGGGGAGGGGAAATTAGGAAGAAATATTAACTTATCGTTAATAATAAATGCTGACTTACTTGCAAGTCTTCAACAAGTCTTGTTAAAATAAAAATTCTGCTTTTTATAATAATCAGAGCTGCTTGTTTAGATGAAACAATGCCTAGAGTTGTATTATAAGGACTATAAAGAAATTAGGCACATTAGAGAATTTATATTTTAAGATTCCCAATACGAAGCATTTTTAATATAAGAAATCAGGCTAAACTGTGAGTACAATTTAAATCATGATAATTTATTCTAAGGGTTTTTACAAAATACCTTATGAAAATTATACATAGGAAGAAGTACAATAAAATCGACTATTTATATTCTAATTAAAATTTGTAGCAAAGCATATCCGTGACTACCTTGATGCTGTTTACATATCGTAAAATTATAAGAAAAACAATCAATTATACACAATATTTTAGCATATTGTTATAAAATACA